ATGGAGGAATCTATCGATGTATGGCCAACTTAAGATGAGATTTTCCCTTATTATGGAAATATTTAAACTTTTTGTTTTATCTACGGAAAATGAAGGCAAATCTTTAAAATGGGTTTCAGAGAAAAAATAATACTGAACTAAACAGCTGTGTCAGAGAGACAGTCTTTCTGAAAGAAAGTTAAGGAAAATCACAAATGTTTTATTCCAATTGGAACACTTGGTGACAACTGTCTAATGCTGGTCACACATTGGAGCGAATTTCATCTGGTTCTTGGTAAACTGGCCAAAATTCACTTCACGGGCGTACTGGTTGACCCCCTCCAGCCCAATATCCTTCAACTGAAAAATCAAAGGAGCTGGGCGGAAAATTGTCAGCTGAACAGCGGCTATCAGAATACACTGCACTGTATGTGTCCCTAGTGTGTCATATTCTGATGGTTTCCACTTTTGGAATGTAGACTTAACATTGCAGGGGTATCAAAAGCTAAATTTTGGGGGGTTTTGGATTGGGTGGAGAGGGATAGGAACCCTTGTCAGGTTTTTGTTGGGGAGCTTCGCCCTCTTTATTTGTCCGGGAGGCTATTGTCACCAGGCATGAAAGTTAGGGAAAATCCCAAATTTTTAATTCCAATTGGAACACTTGTTGACAACTGTCTAATGCCGGCCATACACTGGAGTGAATTTCGGCTGGTTCTTGGTAAACTGGCCAAAACTCACTTTGAGGGCGTACCGTGACCCCCTCCAGCGCAACATCCTTCAACAGAAAAATCAAAGGAGCTGGGTGGAAAATTGTCTTTCTGAAAGATCTCCTAGATTTCACAGTTCTGGGAGAGTCCAAGGCATCCTCCGCTCGTTCTCATGTGCAGAAGCCCTTGCTGTCCCCTCTGGAAAGCGTTCCGATGGATCATTTTTCAGAGAGAGGTTGACAGGAGGCTGGGAGGTTATATGTCACCTACTTGCTGCCTGTTTTTACCCTGACAAGACTGAACCACTACATCACAACCGTGTGCACTGCAGGATGGTTGAGACATGGCACCATTAACTTTAATGAGTCATATTCGGTGGTGCCACTCCTGGCTGAATGTGACAGATGGTTTCATTTCTGCATGAGTATAGCCCCGAGTGGCTGCATATCTTTGTTTTGGTGGGCGAAAGGGAGGTGCTACAACCACATCTCAGTCGTTTTCTTTTGTTGCTCCTTGGCTGCAAGTCTGATAAAACCTCTGAAACCTCTGAAAAGTCAAGCATTGTTCCTTGGGAGTGTGTCTTACTCTTTACAGGAGGGTTCTACATTCTCAGAGTGGTCAGCCAACATCAGTTGTTACAAAACTTCCATAATTTCTGCCAGTACTTCTAATGTCATGCACAGCATCTCCGCCAGGACTTCCAAAGTTCCCTGAAACAAAATGTCCTAAGACCAAAGCGGCATTTAACCTCCAGGCTTTGAGGTGGCTGGTGCTGTGTCTTCAAGCCAACCCGTGAACAAGAGCTATAATGCTGAAGCCAGTCATCAGTTTTCATTAATTTGAACCTCCTGACTGTTCTCTCATCTTCCTTCTTCATTGCCAACCAGGACGGGCTGGCTATCCTTTGCTTACCGCCTGCAAAGGCTCCTGAACAAGAATAGTCTCTCTTCTTAAGCCTAGTTTGCCGCTTACTCATTGCTGACTGCTCTGCGTTCCCCACCCACCAAGAGCCTCCAACTGAGCTCTGACCTCTTGTTTGTGCACCACAGCCCTCCTCTATCTAGTTGGGCAATCCCAGGGACCATGACCTAGTGCCAGCTGCAGTACCCAAGAAGATTTCCAGCCCATCTCCACCATCAGGAGCAGTGAAAACCAATTGGTACTTAGATTCCATACCCAGGTAGAGCCCGGGTCACCTGCCAACGGGTATCGTAACAGAAGCACAATATAGTTACCAGAAACGACCCAACTGTGATGTTCATGGGGCACCAAAACACTGGTGCAGTGGTAGTACAGCCTCCCGAAATGTATCTTGAATAGTTGTAGAGGTAGCAAGATATTTTGTTTTCCTTCTTTAAAGTAGATGTAACCCCAATCACTAAAATTTGAAGAGGTCCATCAATCTAGGAGTGAAGACTCCACAGAGTGTGGTAGGGTTATAGCGGAGGCCCCCAGTGGGTGTGTTCTCAACAGCTTGCCAGTGTCCAATCACCTAAAGGTACAATCTAATAACCAAGGGTCTATAGGGTCCAATACTTTGCCTGTGTCCTGTACTATACAATTAAAATCTTTCTACTTCTTCATACCCATTATAATTACACCTGATCCAACCATGGAGATCCTTGTTCATGCTCTTCCTGTTTTAGGGTGACAACTGTCTCCCAGTTATGAATCTGCATTGTCACCCTGTCACATGCACCCCTATTGGAGACTACCTGCAGAAATGTTGGCACACATTGTACAAGCATTATCTACCAGGAAGCTAGAGAAGTGGTTTCCAAACTGGCCGGGGCCAGATGCGGACCTTTTCTTGCTTTTATCCGGCCCTTGGGGCACTATTTCATCCACTGGTAGCAACAATGGGGCAAAATTCCCTCCAATAACGCCAATAAAGGGGCACAATCCCTCTCAATGATACCAACGAAGGGGCACAATTCCTTCTAATGACAACAATGGGGCCCAATGACAGCAATGATGGGAAACAATTCCTCCTAATGAAACCAATGATGGGGCACAATTCCTCCCAATGACACAAACAATGGGCCACAATTCCTACCAATGACACCTACAATGGGATACAATTTCTCCCAATGACACCAACAATAGGGCACAATTCCTTCCAATGACACTAACAATGGGGCACAATTTCTCCCAATGATGCCAACAATGGGGCTTAATGACACCAAAGATGGGACACAATTCCTCCCAATGACACTAACAATGGGGCACAATTTCTCCCAACGATGCCAACAATGGGGCGCAATTCCTTCCAATGACACTAACAATGGGGCACAATTCCTTCCAATGACACTAACAATGGGGCACAATTCCTCCCAATGACACCAACAATGGGGCACAATTTCTCCCAATGATGCCAACAATGGGGCCTAATGACACCAAAGATGGGACACAATTCCTCCCAAAGACACTAACAATGGGGCACAATTCCTTCCAATGACACCAACAATGGGGCACAATTCCTTCCAATGACACTAACAATGGGGCACAATTTCTCCCAACGATGCCAACAATGGGGCCTAATGACACCAAAGATGGGACACAATTCCTCCCAATGACACCAATGATAGGGTACAATTCTTTCTAAGGAGACCAACGATGGGGTACAATTCCTTCTAAGGACACCAACGATGGGGTACAATTCCTTCTAAGGACACCAACGAGGGGTACAATTCCTTCTAAGGACACCGACGATGGGGTACAATTCCTTCTAAGGACACCAACGATGGGGTACAATTCCTCCTAAGGACACCAACGATGGGGTACAATTCCTTCTAAGGACACCAACGATGGGGTACAATTCCTTCCAATGACACTAACAATGGGGCACAATTTCTCCCAACGATGCCAACAATGGGGCCTAATGACACCAAAGATGGGACACAATTCCTCCCAATGACACCAATGATAGGGTACAATTCTTTCTAAGGAGACCAACGATGGGGTACAATTCCTTCTAAGGACACCAACGATGGGGTACAATTCCTTCTAAGGACACCAACGAGGGGTACAATTCCTTCTAAGGACACCAACGATGGGGTACAATTCCTTCTAAGGACACCAACGATGGGGTACAATTCCTCCTAAGGACACCAACGATGGGGTACAATTCCTCCTAAGGACACCAACGATGGGGTACAATTCCTTCTAAGGACACCAACGATGGGGTACAATTCCTTCTAAGGACACCAACGATGGGGTACAATTCCTCCTAAGGAGACCAACGATGGGGTACAATTCCTTCTAATGAAATCGGGACCTTTCCTACTTCCAATGGCCAAAGTCTAGCAAAGCAAAGGAGTGGATCAAGTGCATGTAGACAGGAAGCAGCTGCAGGAGGCTGGAAGCAATCAGCAGCACTGAGATGTAAAAAAGCATAAAAAAGGAAAAAAATCAGTATTTTATGAAATGAAATAAAAGGCAATTGTTTATAATACACAGCGTTTTAGCAAAGTAAATATCATTTACGTATAAGGGGTCTGACAGTCCATTGCTTCATGGAGGAGAGAAACATGGGCCCGTGCCAATTAATTAATGAGGCCCCACACCCAAAGCACCCCTTCCCAAATGGCTGGCTGCACGCAGCTACAATACCCGCTCGCAGAGTCGTGTCGATCTCAGGCAAACAGGAAACAGCGTGGACAATATTCCATATCACAGAATGAAAAGCTGCATATGGTACTCAGCAATAACAGCTGAGCTCTTAAAAAAAAAAAAAAAAAAAAAAAAAAAAACACACCCCGCTGCTTTGCATTTAACTAAACCTGATAGCAAGCAATACCATGAGCAGCTCCGCCATGTAAAATATTGTTTTTACTACAAAATCCTGTTTATTATCCTCTGAAATCACAGGCTGCCAATCCAAACACTCGGCATGATAACACCACGCTCAAAAAAAAAAAAAAAAAGAAAAAAGATATATATATAAAATTTTTTTTTTTTTTTTTAAGGGAACAAGCCGTGATGTGTTTACAATAATAACATGTTTATGGAATAAAATATTCCATGCATTTAAAAATGAGATTATAGTGTATGTAAGTATACAAAGGGCCGGGATAAAAAATACAGACGGAAGATTCCGTCCTCTCTGCTGGTATTAACTGGATATCTTATATGAAATGCAATGAATGAGAAAAAAAAAAAAAAAAAATACACACACATAAATATATATATAATAAAAATTAAATTAAGTAGGACTTCAAAGCTTGTTGACGTAAAGTGTTACTAAACCCCGGACCCTGCATTCACTATATCCGGTCCCCCCGGACCCTGCATTCACTATATCCGGTCCCCCCGGACCCCGCATTCACTATATCCGGTCCCCCCGGACCCTGCATTCACTATATCCGGTCCCCCCGGACCCCGCATTCACTATATCGGTCCCCCCGGACCCTGCATTCACTATATCCGCTCTCCCCGGACCCTGCATTCACTATATCTGGTCTCCCCGGAGCCTGCATTCACTATATCCGCTCTCCCCGGACCCCGCATTCACTATATCCGCTCTCCCTCGGACCCCGCATTCACTATATCCGCTCTCCCCGGACCCCGCATTCACTATATCCGCTCTCCCCGGACCCCGCATTCACTATATCCGCTCTCCCCGGACCCCGCATTCACTATATCCGCTCTCCCCTGGACCCCGCATTCACTACATCTGGTCTCCCCGGACCCCGCATTCACTATATCCGGTCTCCCGGACCCTGCATTCACTATATCCGCTCTCCCCGGACCCCGCATTCACTATATCCGCTCTCCCCAGACCCTGCATTCACTATATCTGGTCTCCCCGGACCCTGCATTCACTATATCTGCTCTCCCCGGACCCCGCATTCACTATATCCAGTCTCCCCGGACCCTGCATTCACTATATCTGGTCTCCACGGACCCTGCATTCACTATATCCTCTCTCCCCGGACCCCGCATTCACTATATCCAGTCTCCCCGGACCCTGCATTCACTATATCCGCTCTCTCCCCGGACCCCGCATTCACTATATCCGCTCTCCCCGGACCCTGCATTCACTATATCCGCTCTCCCCGGACCCTGCATTCACTATATCTGGTCTCCCCGGACCCTGCATTCCCTATATCTGGTCTCCCCGGACCCCGCATTCACTATATCTGGTCTCCCCGGACCCTGCATTCACTATATCCGCTCTCCCCGGACCCTGCATTCACTATATCTGGTCTCCCCGGACCCTGCATTCCTATATCTGGTCTCCCCGGACCCCGCATTCACTATATCTGGTCTCCCCGGACCCTACATTCACTATATCTGGTCTCCCCCGAACCCTGTATTCACTATATCTGGTCTCCCCGAACCCTGCATTCACTATATCTGGTCTCCCCGGACCCTGCATTCACTATATCTGGTCTCCCCAGACCCTTCATTCACTATATCTGGTCTCCCCGGACCCTGCATTCACTATATCCGCTCTCCCCGGACCCTGCATTCATTATATCCGCTCTCCCCAGACCCTACATTCACTATAGCTGGTCTCCCTGGACCCCGCATTCACTACATCCGCTCTCCCCAGACCCTGCATTCACTATATCAGGTCTCCCCGGACCCTGCATTCACTATATCCGGTGTCCCTGGACCCTGCATTCACTATATCCGGTGTCCCTGGACCCTGCATTCACTATATCCGGTCCCCCCGGACCCTGCATTCACTATGTCTGCTCTCCCTGTATCCTGCATTCACTGTATCCGCTCTCCCCGGACCCTGCATTCACTATATCCGCTCTCCCCGGACCCTGCATTCTCACTATATCCGCTCTCCCCGGACCCGCATTCACTATATCCGCTCTCCCTGGACCCTGCATTCACTATATCAGGTCTCCCCGGACCCTGCATTCACTATATCCGGTCTCCCCGGACCCTGCTTTCACTATATCAGGTCTCCCCGGACCCTGCATTCATTATATCCGCTCTCCCCGGACCCTGCATTCACTATATCCGGTGTCCCGGACCCTGCATTCACTATATCCGGTGTCCCCGGACCCTGCATTCACTATATCCGCTCTCCCCGGACCCTGCATTCACTATATCCGGTCTCCCGGACCCTGCATCACTATATCCGCTCTCCCCGGACCCTGCATCCACTATATCCGCTCTCCCCGGACCCTGCATTCACTATATCCGCTCTCCCCGGACTCTGCATTCACTATATCCGCTCTCCCCGGACCCCGCATTCACTATATCCGCTCTCCCCGGACCCTGCATTCACTATATCCTCTCTCCCCGGAGCCTGCATTCACTATATCCGCTCTCCCCGGACCCCGCATTCACTATATCCGCTCTCCCCGGACCCCGCATTCATTATATCCGCTCTCCCCAGACCCTGCATTCACTATATCCTCTCTCCCCGGGGCCTGCATTCACTATATCCGCTCTCCCCGGACCCTGCATTCACTATATCCGCTCTCCCTGGACCCTGCATTCACTATATCCGGTCTCCCCGGACCCCGCATTCACTATATCCGCTCTCCCCGGACCCTGCATTCACTATATCCGCTCTCCCCGGACCCTGCATTCACTATATCTGGTCTCCCCGGACCCCGCATTCACTATATCCGCTCTCCCCGGAACCTGCATTCACTATATCCGGTCTCCCCGGACCCTGCATTCACTATATCCAGTCTCCCCGGACCCTGTATTCACTATATCTGGTCTCCTCGGACCCCGCATTCACTATATCCGCTCTCCCCGGACCCTGCATTCACTATATCCAGTCTCCCCGGACCCCGCATTCACTATATCCGCTCTCCCCGGACCCTGCATTCACTATATCCAGTCTCCCCGGACCCTGTATTCACTATATCTGGTCTCCCCGGACCCTGCATTCACTATATCTGGTCTCCTGCAGTACACAGAACATGGAAATGCAGTTAGTTTTGTAAATATAACTTCTAAATACCTTCTCTCGTCAGCAGTATATAGCAGTCTTGTGACTTCTATCAGTGTCCAGCAGAGCACTCGTTAAAGCTTGTAGGAGGAGTTTTCATTCTCCCCTGATTGTCCAATGAAGCTGCATAACCCCTGCCCCTCTGTCTGGACAGCGCTGATTGTCCCTGTGCCGATCACCCTCCCAAAGACGAAAAAAAAAAAAATCTTTAGCAATACACACCAAACTAAGCATGTGCAGAGTGACTCCTAGAGCTCTGTTCTATCGGCAGACGGATTGGAGACAGTAGAAGGTGCGATTTTGCAAAAGGGTCAGGGACTGTTTTTGTATGTTTTCCATGCATAGTGCAGTCCCTTAAAATGAATGTACAGTACTTCCCTACACTTGACACGTGGGAACGCACGGAAGTGAGCATGCACTTTGTCGCATCTGCATGGTGTAAAGAGGTTAAAAGTAATTCCGCCCGAAACTGTGTCAATCATCGGCCACCATGACGGTCCTCTTCCTTCAATACCCTGAGCCACCAGCCCACAACAAATACGCAGATGGGACTTCTGACTTTTTTTCTGATGTTCCTGATCTGCCTACCGGTCCCAGGTTAGTGACTCAAAGTGCTAAAGCCAGAGGATGAGCATAACAGAAGGCCAGGCAGCCCTGTTCAGCATTCTTCGGGCGCACTCTCAGCACAGAAACCTCAGTCGCCCATGGATGCATATGTGCAGCATGCGGCGCATTGAAGCCAATCCTCTCTGACACCACACATATGCACTACATGGGCATAAAAATAATGAGCTGTAATAAAGAGTCACTTCATCTGTCATTTGTTGGCCATCATGCCGGTCCTCTTCCTTGCTGGTAAAGGGAATTGACTGGGCGGGAAGGGATTAAACAACAGTGCCAATTTTCCCCTGTTAGTCACTCAGTAGTGTCTACACTGTATCATTCCGCTCGAATACGCCCAGAACTGTGTCATTCATCAGCCACCATGCCGGTCCTCTTCCTTGAACACCCCGAGCCACCAGAATAGAACAAATACGCAGATGGGGACTTCTGACATCACTCTGATGTTCCTGATCTGCCTACTGGTCCCAGGTTAGTGACTAAATATACTGAAGCCAGAGGATGAGCATAACAGAAGGCCAGGCAGCATGCTTGGGGCACACTCTCAGCACAGAAACCTCAGTCGCCCATGGACACATATGTGCGGCATGTGGTGCTTTGAAGCCAACCCTCTTTCCTGCCACACATATGTGCTACATGGGCAGAAAGAGGTTAAAGAGTCACTCTGTCTGTCATTCATTGCCACCATGCCATGCCGGCCGGTCCTCTTCCCTCCTTTCCTGCCACACATATGTGCTACATGGGCAGAAAGAGGTTAAAGAGTCACTCCATCTGTCATTCATCAGCCACCATGCCAGTCCTCTTCCTTCCTTTCCTGCCACACGTATGTGCTACATAGGCAGAAAGAGGTTAAAGAGTCACTCCATCTGTCATTCATCGGCCACCATACCGGTCCTCTTCCTTCAACACCCCGAGCCACCAGCCCAGAACAAATACGCAGATGGAGACTTCTGACATCACTCTGTTGTTCCTGATCTGCCTACCGGTCCCAGGTTAGTGACTAAAAATACTAAAGCCAGAGGATGAGCATAACAGAAGGCCAGGCAGCATGCTTGGGGCGCACTCTCAGTACAGAAACCTCAGTCGCCCATGGACACATATGTGCGGCATGTGGGCGTTAAAGCCAACCTAGTTTGTCCCCACACGTATGCACTACATGGGCATAAAGATAATGCCCTGCAATAAAGAGTCAGTTCGTCTGTCATTCGTTGGCCATCATGCCGGTCCTCTTCCTTCCTGGTAAAGGGAATTGGCTGGGCCGGAAGGGATTAAACAACAGTGCTAATTTTCCCCCTGTTAATCGCTCAGTAGTGTCTATACTGTATCATGCTTCTCGAATGCGCCCAGAACTGTGCCATTCATCAGCCACCATGCCAATCCTCTTCCTTCAATACCCCGAGCCACCAGCCTAGAACAACTACGCAGGTGGACACTTCTGACTTTACACTGATGTTCCTGATCTGGGCGTTAAAGCCAACCCTCTTTGTCCCCACATGTATGCACTACATGGGCAGCAAGAAGGGAAAGCGTAAATTATACTGTCATGCATTGGCCATTATGCCGGTCCTCTTCCTTCTTGCTAAAGAGGCTGGGCGGGAAGGGGTTAAACAGCAGTGCCATTTTTTTCCCCCCTCCCATTGATTGCTCAGCAGTGTCTACACTGTATCATTCCGCTCTAAAACCCCGATCTGGCATTAGAAACCATTTCGCTTTTAAGTCAGGCGACACATTGCGAGTCACATGACCTCCCACGCCTGACCCCCTCCTCTCCGTCAAAACTGCATACCGTACCAAGGCCCCGTTGCAAAGTTTTTGGCTCTCACAACAAGGAGCAGCTGGGCCAAGCTACCAGGGAATGATAATGACCTCAGAAATCTGCTGTTAGCTCTACAACAATAGGGTGTTCAGTCTAGTGGAAAATTGCGTTCATCAGCTAGCTCTGCTCAGTTACTAATTGACATTGCCAAATATTTTAAGAACAATTGGAATGCACAAGAAAAAAAAAATGAAGATCTTAATCCTCCAGTTTAATTTTTTTTTTTTGTAATTTTTTTTTTTTTTCCAGTCGGCTCGGGAGTCTATCATCCAACTCCAACCAAATCTGATATTTAAAGCGGAACTCCGGCCTTCCCATCGGTCCAGTCGCACACTGTGAGCATTAGAAGCTGCATCAAGTCATACAGAGCCCGCCTCACCTCCCAGCATCATCTAGTTCTGCCCCCCCAGCCGGATGGTCCCTCGACCGCCCCTTTCATTCACTGGATTTCAGTTATTTCAATCATTTTATTGTAGTTGGGGGGAACTCAGCATCACTTGTGGGCAGGGGCGGACTGACCTTTTTTTTTCGTGCAGATAACGAAAAACCCGTAAGTGAATCACAAAAAAAGTGCAAGTGTGAAACACCACACAAAAAAGTGCACTTAGGGGTGTGCTTTGTCCTTCCCCCGAAGGGGATGGACCACTACCCTGATCCCCCGGGGCACGAAGCTCCTGAAAGGGACAAGGTTCCCATTTGGTCCTCCTGGCCAAAAGGCCTGGTGGACCACCGTTCCTTGTGGCCAGCCGAAGCCAGCCACCAAGTACTTGGGCAGGGGGCTCTCCCGGAGAGAAACTGGGTGGACTGACCATTTGGGTACTCGGGCACTGCCCGAGGGCCCAAGGTCAGTAGGGGGCCCCATGAGATGCCCCTAGTACCTTTCATAGGCTTTTTTTGGGTGTGGTTTTAAGTGTGGGTGAGGACACGGGGCCCCATGATCCCCTATTGCCCGGGGGCCCCATGAGTAGTCAGTCCTCCCCTGCTTGTGGGCATTACCTAGCAAATGCAGCCAGCCTAGGAACGCCCACTCCTCCAGACTGACACCCGCCCATCAAGGCATTTTGATATTTGCATAACTCCTCCCACTGTCCACAGAAAATGTTCAAAGTTTCTATTTATAAAAAATAGTTAGCAATATGGGCAGTGCTGTGGCTAAGTGGTTAGCACTTCCGCCTGGCAGTACTTGGGTCATTGGTTCAAATCCCAACCATGGCACCACCTGCCTTGAGTTTGCATGTTCTTCCTGTGCCTGTGTGTGTTTCCTCCGGGTACTGCAGTTTCCTCCCACACTCCAAAGACATGCTGGTAGTATAATTGGCTCCTGTCCAAATTGTCCCCAGTATGTATGAGTGGGTGTTATTTCAATCATTTTATTGTAGTTGGGGGGGGGGGCTCAGCATTACTTGTGGGCATTACCAGGGGCGGACTGACCGTTTGGAAACTCGAGGGTCCGGGGTCAGTAGGGGGCCCCATGAGATGCCCCTGGTACCTTTTTCATAGGCTTTTTTGAGTTTGGGCAAGGACACAGGGGCCCCATTATCCCCTATTGCCCAGGGGCCCCATGAGTTGTCAGTCCACCCCTGGGCATTACCTAGCAAATGCAGCCAGTCTAGGAACGCCCACTCCTCCAGACTGACACCCGCCCTTCAAGGCTTTTTGATATTTGCATAACTCCTCCCACTGTGCACAGAAAATGTTCAAAGTGTCTATTTATAAAAAATAATTAGCAACACGGGCAGCACAGTGGCTAAGTGGTTAGCACTTCCATCTGGCAGTCATTGGTTCAAATCCCAACCATGACACCACCTGCCTGGAGTTTGCATGTTCTCTCTGTGCCTGCGTGGGTTTCCTCCGAGTACTCCGGTTTCCTCCCACACTCCAAAGACATGCTGGTAGGTGAATTGTCTCCTGTCTAAATTGTCCCCTAGTATGTGTATGTATGAATGTGAGTTAGAGACCTTAGACTGTACACCCCTTGAGGGTTAGGGACTGATGTGAATGTAATATATATATATCAGGGGCAGACTGACCATTCGGGTACTCGGGCACTGCCCAAGAGCCCAGGGTCAGTAGGGGGCCCCATGAGATGCCCCTGGTACCTGTCATAGGATTTTTTTTTTGGTGTGGTTTTAAGTGTGGGTGAGGACACGGGGCCCCATGATCCCCTATTGCCCAGGGGCCCCATGAGTTGTCAGTCCTCCCCTGATATATATATATATAGCGCTGCATAAATTGATGGCACTATATAAGTACCTGAAATAATAATAATAAATTCAAATAATTTCAATAAAAGTAACAATTCATCCCATAAAGCTGCCGTTGCATTTTGTCTGAGCAAATGAGGCAACTTCAAATGTTTTCAGGCTATTCTTTCTACAGGTTGAATGTTAATTATTAAAAAAAAAAAAAAAAAAAAAAAGAGTGGTCCAGGAAAATATTGCTCTTCGGCCACTAGATGGAGCAGATGATCATAGGAAACAAGTATTTCTTCACTATGATCCTCAGCTCCATCTACTGGCCTTAATATGGTATTTTCTTTCATTTTTTATGAATGAATAACATTCCCCCCCTCGTAGTGGATATGGCAGAACATTCAGTTTTTCCCCATTCACACAGAACGAATGTACCAGCGGTTTCCCTGGACAAATAGCTATGCACAGCTATGCACAACCCCATTACCTAGAACAGCTTGCATCAGACTGTAGGAGCACTGAGGCAGGGTCCTGTGATGCTTTCAAGAAGCTGTGAGAAGGAGGCCTGCATTGCATAGAGAAGCATAGATACCCAGTGATGATGGTTTTGTTAAAAAAAAACATAACATGTTGATGAGCAGAGAAGGAGGAACCAGGGAAGGCAAAATATAAATGCTAAAGTATACCTGTTACCTGAAAAAAATGTATTTTTTATAGTTACTTCCCCTGACTATGACTTTATCTGGTTTTCTCTCCAGAAAGACGGTGCCACATTTATTCTGGTGTCATTCAGGGTTGTCATTTGCTTCCCATATTGAGTTGTCGGCCCAGAGAATCTACATTCCTGTAAAACATTCTGTATCTCAGAATGTCCGTATTGGGTATGCATGTTTGTATATCCGAATACATCCATATCCTGTAATTCATTAGAATTGTAGGATCAGAATATGGCCCAAACCTGTGGGAAGCTGTCACATGATCGCATCCCCATTGGTTCAATGAGCTGCAGGGGAGAGACTCCCCACCCTATAGCTAACACATAATAAAAGGGTGAGGATGCTTGTAACATCATTGCCCAAATATGGCCTCATGGCCATACTAGGAAAAGCTCATGGACCTGATAGGGCCATGTGGTCGTATTAGGTCACTGATGATGTAAAGAAATCATCAAATCATAAGTCCAGAAAAAAATATATATATGCCAATACCACAAAAAATATAAAAAAAACTTTTAAGTGCAAAAAACTTTTGTGCAAAAAAAGTGTCTAAATATTGATAATATAATGGCAGATCATCCACAACTAATCTTCAGAGACGGAAACTCTGCAACACACCGATCCTCATCGATCGAAATAACAGGATGAAAAACTTTGTAGTAGATCAGGTATCCATGGGGGGAAATACCAAGCACTCGAGAGAAACAGAAAGACTTCATGGGCAATATTATAAAAACCAAATTACATTGCACTTACACCAGCATCAACAGCATAACAGCAATCACATAAACGAGCCTGGCTCCTCAGCACTGCGCAGTAGCTGGCAGCCAAAAATAATGACGTCACATCAATCAGCTCCGCCCTACGCGTTTCGTCATCGACGTCCTCACGGGGCGGATGACTTTATATATGGTGATTTTTTGCAGCTGGTACCTATTAGTAAGTTATATAATTTTGACCATAGGCGCTATTATTAATTTTTCATCCCCTTTGTATAAATGCAAGTTCAGGATGGAGGATAAAACCACCTACAGCTCATTGGGCCAGCAAACCCAGCTCATCTGGAACCCAAGCTGATCACTGGCCACCACTCACAGCCTCTGGAGCTTGGGGAAGAAGAGTGAACCTAGTGGTCACAAGATTCTAAAAACAAGGCACATTTTGTGAAATTTGTAGGTTTGCTATGTTGGTTTTTCAAGCTAAGACTTTACAAGTAGGACATGGCCATATCAGAACAAGGCCATGAATCTAGTAGAACAATGATGCCATATTAAGTCAATGATGTCACAAGCATCCCCTTTGCATAAATGCAGGTGCGAGATGGAGGATATCTCACCTACAGCTCATTGGGCCAGCAATTTGGTGCAAACCCAGCTCATCAGGTGCCCAAGCTGATCCATGGCCACCACCCACAGCCTCTGGAGCTTGGGGAAGAAGAGGGAACCTAGTGGTCACAAGATTACTAAAAACAAGGCACATTTCAGGAAGTTTGTAGGTTTACTATTTTGTTTTTTAAGCTAAGACTTTACAAGTAGGACATGGCCATATCAGAACAAGGCCATGGATCTAGTAGGCCATGTGGCCATATTAGGTCAATAATGTCACGAGCATCCCCTTTGTATAAATGCATGTGCGGGATGGAGGATATCTCACCTACAGCTCATTGGGCCAGCAATGCGGTGCAAACCCAGCTCATCTGGAACCCAAGCTGATCACTGGCCACCATCCACAGCCTCTGGAGCTTGGGGAAGAAGAGGGAACCTAGTGGTCACAAGATTACTAAAAACAAGGCACATTTCAGGAAGTTTGTAGGTTTACTATTTTGGTTTTTTAAGCTAAGACTTTACAAGTAGGACATGGCCATATCAGAACAAGGCCATGGATCTAGTAGGACAATGTGGCCATATTAAGTCAATGATGTCACAAGCATCCGCTTTGCATAAATGCAGGTGCAGGATGGAGGATATCTCACCTACAGCTCTTTGGGCCAGCAATTCGGTGCAAACCCAACTCATCAAGAACCCAAGCTCATTCCTGGCCACCACCCACAACCTTTGGAGCTTGGGGAAAAAGAGGGAACCTAGTGGTCACAAGATTCTAAAAACAAGGCACATTTCGGGAAGTTTGTAGGTTTGCTATTTTGGTTTTTCAAGCTAAGACTTTACAAGTAGGACATGGCCATATCAGAACAAGGCCATGGATCTAGTAGGGCCATGTGGCCATATTTAGGTCAATAATGTCACGAGCATTCCCTTTGCATAAATGCAGGTGCGGGATGGAGGATATCTCACCTACAGCTCATTGGGCCAGCAATTTGGTGCAAACCCAGCTCATCAGGAACACAAACTGATCCCTGGCCACCACCCACAGCCTCTGGAGCTTGGGGAAGAAAAGGGAACCTAATGGTCACAATATTCTAAAAACAAGGCACATTTTGTGAAGTGTGTAGGCTTTCAATTATGGTCTTTCATAATGGTTCACTTTTTGGTTTCCCAGTGCATCCTGGGATATCTCATACCTGCAATACCTCAAAAACATAGTGAAGTTTATACTGAATAAAAGCCCCTGAAAAGCCGCAGGTGCTGTTAGCGTGCATTGTCATTGACTTCTATGGAGGCTTTGAAGACTTTGAAGCACCAAGAAAATGACATGGGGTATAATTTTTGAAGCAAAGCAAACAACAGTATGAACAGGACTGAAGGTTTACCATTTTATTTAGTGACAGGTGTTTTGATTCGGCATTGAGAGTGCTTTAAAAAAGCGTGCCCAATGCCACATTTTGAAGCAAGTGTAAATGAGGCCATCTCACCACCTGCATAGATGCATGTGCTCCTCCATGGCAAAAAAAAGACCCATAACACTTTAATTTCGGACATGACCCTCCCCTACTGGTTCCCAGTCTAGTTACATATAAATAAGTGGGCCCACCTCCCCCTCTTTCATCCCCCTTTCACAGAGAATTACATCAGGTAACAAAAGCTTTGGCCGTCTCTCATTATGAGACCCACTTCGGAGGTAATTTCGAGAGCTGTTGTCAAATGTGAAATCTACTATGAATTTAGCCTTACTGAGAGCTCTACTTAAGGAAAAAAAAAAAAAAGAATTCCTTGTTCCGAATTTTTTTAGACATAGTTTCTCAGGCCCCTTCTGACCTGTTTTTCTAAAGCAAGTGATACAAACGGCATGTTATAAAGATGCACTTCAAGGGCCGGGAGGATTTGGTTGGCTTTTAGTGGTTCCTGAGTTTAGGCTAAATATGTTTTATTGTGCACCGTAATGAAGGCACTAGATTATGCACTTAAAAAAGGCGCAGTCCTAGCATAAAGGAGGCAGTTTGGGGAAATTAGTCGTTAAGGACAAATTTATATGCGAAGGGGAAAAGCACAGAGGATCATCAATATTTACTAGGAAATATGAAGATACGGGTGGCGTGGGGCGCTGGAGTTGTGACCGGCAAAATTAACAAGGCCCAGTACTACACTAAGGACGTAAAATATTATGAGCTGGCGGACCGTACTTTTGGTTCGAACAAAACTGAAAGTTCCCAAACTTTTTATATTTGTTTTGATTAAATTCAGGATAAAGAATAGTGAGCGCTCTTATAAATACAGCAGCTAGAACACTTCAGGCAACCACAATGCCTCCAAAATATCAA